AGTAGCACACAATAATCTCCATTTTTAGCCATACTTTCAAAATATTATATATATATATATATATATATATATATATATATATATATGTGTGTAATAATCACATAAACTGAGTTAGTTTTTTTAAAGGACAAGAATGGCTCTTCAGACTACAGCCCTATTCAGCTTTGGGTTGATCTAATAAATTAGTTTTGATCATTGTTTGATTGAATTTATGATTTTCAACATGAATCTATAGGAGAGAAAGCCTGTCCATGATTCAAAGTGCAAGGACCCATTTCCTTTTGCTCATATACAACTACTCTGCACTGGAAGTTTTAGAGCTCACAATACACTTAGCAGTGCTGAGGCTCTACTTTATAGCCATGCTAAACCAAGGATGCTACCAATGCACAAAATGTTCTTGATACTCTAGAGGAGCACAATAAGGAAGAAATACACAAGTCTCACCATTTAAGATCTGACTAGCCTGCAAAACATAGGTTAAAATGTCGTATCAGGGTAAGAAATCCTACTGAGGATGTTAATCAACCAAATACCCCTGCCTTAAAAAGACAGCAGGTTTTTGGGCTAGTTCCAAGGGGACTGTTTACACTTAACAGCATTGCTGACATCTATAATCCATGTTGTGTAGGTAATGCTTGCTTTAATAGTGATACAACTTTAACTATTGATATGACAAAGATACAAGGAGAACACTACATGCCAAAATACTCACTTGCATTTTGCCTGTAGTCCTTTTCTTTAAAAAAAAAAAACCTGACTTGTCTACTGCATATTGAATTTTTTTCCTTCCCTGCTGCTATTTCAACTTGCTAACACATGTAGAAAGAGTTCAAGATCAGAGAAACCAACACCTATTATTCTTCACATTAAAAGTTTTACTGATTACTGTCTAAACAAGAAAACCCCTCCCACTTGTATTGCTGCTATGACTATAGCAGCTATTAAACTGGCAGCCAACACAGTGCCACTTCCTCTGACCCTTTTGGCAGAACAATTGACACAATATATTCCAGGCCATACAGCAGCCAGTGATGATGCTCCTAGATCAGTTAAGGATTGTGCCTGCATCCTTCTAATTGCACCTTTGCCACTGAACTGTCAAGATGTCCTCAGACAGAAACGAGAATAGTGCCACAAAACTCACCATACAGACTGTATGAGACAGTGGTAATGACCATTTAAAAATCCTTGTTGCAAAAGCAGTTTAAATCTTAAAAAAAATTCGCTTGCTTTTTTTTTTTTTTTAAATAATCTTTGTACTTCGAAGGTTCTTAGCTGCTTACTTGATACTTATTTCAACAGAGCTTTTCAGACACATTACTCTTCAAGTACAGGCTTTAGGTAACTCTCAAAAAAATTCTCATCTTCACTGTACTTAGCCTGAAGGGTAATCAGAAGTCACTCCCACAACAAACACACCAAGATGATGCACTCTTGAGGCAGCTTGTTCAATCTGAGCTAAGTACCATAGCACTGAGTCAAGACACAGAGTAAAGAAACAAGTACTGAATGGGACTATACAAAAAGAGTAGGCAGCTTCTGTAACGTGTATTAAGTGAAAACTGAACAGAAAAAGCCTAGTGCTACAGATGATGCTGAAACACTATCAAAACGTCCTTACCTGGGCTTTAACAATACCTTCAGAGAAAAGAACTATCTTTTAAAACAACTCAAGTAAACAAAAACAGAGTCTCTTTTTATCTCACCTACTGCAAGCAAGATTCAAAGGAAGTGTTAACAGAGGTGAAGGAATTCTTACATGAAGATAATTGTAGCAGGGAAATGGGAAGAGTTAAAACCCAAGTAAGAGAAAAAAAAAAAAAAATCACCCTGCAGTGTAAATGGGCCTACAGTACTTGTAATTACATGAAGAAAGAACTCGCTTCTCAGCCACAACAAAACCAGATAATTTCAAGGCATCTAAACAAGAGATATATTTAACTGAAAGAGTTATGAGTATGTTTATACAGAATCAAATGTTCTATTACTGTTTGTAATTCACTACAGGTGAAAAATTATTTCCTTATGCATTTTTTGTTCTTTCAGTAACTTATCATCATCCCTTTCATTCTTTTCTATTGAGCAATACTTTTAATAGAAGTCAGACACATTACAGAATCAATATATTTTCATTTATATACTGATTTGATACCCATATATCAATATATATGTAACATATGTAATATAGTATACTAAACTGTTAACTATTTTGTATTATAAAGCACATTTCCTTCAAACTCTGTTTAAGGAAAATTATATGATGTGTTCCAGGAAACCATCCTTGCTCATAAGATATGGATTACCAGAGAAACACCAAGCACTAATTTTGGTCTTCTTGGTCTAACTTATTGCCACAAAACACACAAGATCAAAGGTGGCTTCTCAGACTAGACACATGGCAGAAGGAGAGTCTGGATTTAAAAGGTGGTGTTTTATCTGAAGAGTGATGTACATCATGGCCATATGCAAGTAGAAGTGAAGAGACAAAAATGAGGGTGGACTCTAGACTGTGCTGAAAAGCCATTCATCCACCAAAGCACTAAAACCAGAAAAGGACAAATGTGTATGTATTATAAAGTGTGAGGTTACATGCAGTGAGTATATAAGAAGGCACATAATGTATATATACAACAAATGTAATTTCCAAAGTAAGTATTCCAGAGATTTAAATAAGTTGCGATTGTAAGAGAAGCATTTAAATACTCGTTACAAGCACAGACCAATTATGAGCTAACAAGTTAATGAGTTAACAAGTCCCCATTAATGAATTTGGAAACTAGGCTGTAACTTGGAGTATCTATGAAGCATGATAAACTCCAGAAAACAGATTTGTTCATATGGGGAAAAAAAATAAATAAATAAAATCAAACAAGCATCCAAAGTTATTTACAGAGTGAACGCATCTCTTGATGCTCTTAAAATAAACAAAAAGCCCTCCACCATCTACCAATAAACACCATTATAAAATACCACCAGTGTTTTTAATGCAAAAGTCTTGGAACCTCTGTATTTTCTACCTGACTTAAATTAAGAATTTAATATTTTATCAGCTTGATGTCTGCGTACACAAGCTCCTTACATTTATATTGTACTATAAATCTAGATTAGGGAGCCAATTTAAATGGTTTATATGTAGCCATAGAGGTAAAGCAGCTATTTCTTAAGAATATGGTTTTAGACAGTTAAATACAAGCATAAGTATTTCACTCGTGCAAGCAACTTTATCCTGTAAAACAAAAGGTAATAGCTAAGACCAACCAGAACACATAAAAAGAAAACAAGGGAAAATTTCAAAGCCCCTAACAGATCACAAAACTATTTCTAATATAAAATGGAATCACAGTATCCTTAAAAACATCATCGCATGCTGTGGTCCTCTCCTGTTAGGTGCCCAAGGCTCTAACACCATTGGTTCTACAGTTAAACCCTTTTTGAGACCGCCTAGTAACTATGTCAGAAGGGAGATCAGAGTTTTTAAAATCAAAATAGCATGTGTTAGTCTGTAAAATTTATTACATATTTTCTAAAAACCATCTGTACATCAGATAGAACCTGCTGGTTCTCCCTGTAATCTGTGAGCTCCACTCTTCAAAGGAAGATGCAAACAACTTTTTCCAGCACAGATTTAAGACTACCCTGGTCGTCATGCAGAAGCAAAATGCTTGTGGAGAGAAGTTTAGCTTAAAGCCTTCCCCTTTCAGAATTCAGGTTTCACTGTCATAGAAATCACTGATGCCCCAAGCATTAATGGACTCTGTCTCGTTCCTACAGCATAATCGGCCAGCATGTAACTGCTTCATCGGTTGCTAGGGAGCAACGAGCTCATTACAAAGCATCATCCACACCCTCCACAAGGATGCTGGCACATGCTTCCCATCTGGGGATACTACTGATTGAAGTAATGGCACTAGAGTGCCTGCCAGTCTTCAGTCTCCCAGGGTGGAATACGCCAATACAGCAGGTGCTAACTTTAGCTCTACCTTCGAGGTTTTAGGCTCTAGTCTTTGTGAGCCTGACCAACGCAATGCAACACACAAAGAGGTTAGAACAGCCTTCCACAGCTATTGGCACGGATACCCCTTATTTTTAAAGGCCAAAACTAGACAAAGATGTTCTTCCTGAAATTTTGGCAGACTGATGGCTTTTCCAACTAGGGCAACGATTGCCACTATTCTAAACTCTGTGTTAGAGGAGAATTCAGTAAAAACGGAAAAAGGCGGGGGGAGGGGGGAAGGGGGGAATCTTCTTTTCAGTCATTAAAGGAGTACAAAATTTGAAGGCATTTACATAAGACATAAAGAAACCTAGTGATCTCCAAGCTGCATACATTAAAGCCCTGGAATGGATATCAGCTGTGAACAACCTGGGTCACTTCAAAATCTAAACATGCAACCTTAATGCATTTTTTCAGCTGTTTGTCTCATTAGCACTTCACAGATCTATTCACAATAAGAAGGAAAAAAAAAAAACTGTCAAGAAATAAAAAAGCCACCCCGCTTCCATATGCCAGGAAATTTATTAACTAACAATCTATCTGCATTACACAGAGATAGTATCTAATGATTTTCATGTACCTGTCATACGTCAAATGCCATCCAAGAACTCTTAGTGCTGGTGAATTAACAAGCACGTAAGGGAATACAGCTGTAGTTCTGCATAGATGCCTATATATACAAATCCTTGGCAACTTCAAAATGCTTTTTTTATCAATTGCATAAAGAAACATAAAAAGGAATGAGAAGGAAGGTAAACTGGAGTGATTCACTCATCACATGCATGAAACAGTAGTTCGATTCGAAGGGGATTAGTGAATGCAAAGTGTCAACTTTCCCTCTTACCTGAAGTTAATATTAAATTCTTCAGAATTTAAGATAACTGAGCTACAAAACTGTTCACCACTAATATATGAAATAATATCATTGACACTCATGCATCAGTTAAATGCATTTTAAAATAACCGATTAGTTTGAAACACAAATATGTACCTAAATCCTTACCTGTCTCAACAATTTCTCAACAGCCGACATTACCATGAGCCCTCTCCACACAACCGGGGCAGTCTCTTCTATCAAGAAACCCATAGACATGCTGAAATAACAAAACAAAAACTTAAGCCTTCCAGCACAATACCAAGTACATCTGTAAAGAAGCTTGATTTAAATAAAAACATATGCTCACCATGTGATTCCATAGTTCTTAAGGGGTCGCATTAGATTTTCTAAAACAGAAGTAAACAAGGGTTTTTTTGAGGTGGGAGAAGTTAGTTTCATTTTTAAGGTTTTGTAAAAGAAATAAGCTTACACAATTTGATTCCTTTTAAGAGCTGTTTTCCCTCTCTGTTAAAAGCATTTTCCCCTCATCCCTTCAATATATGAATACATTTATCTGTTCTGCCCAAGAACGTGGCCTCGCTACTTCTTAGGTTGTTCCATTTTACTGATACGATTCATTTTTTTGCCAAAATAGCAATGCATTTGCCCATAATATAATATCACTTTGTGCTGACGAAACCAATTTCATCTATTTATATGAAATACCCAAGCTGCAAGGTGTAAATCCCCTATTAAGACAGCCTTCTACTTCTGCAATACTTCTCTAAACGCCAAGTCATTTATATCAGAACAAAATCAAAGTCCTACAACACAACAGGATTTTAGATTTTCTTATTTTTTTAAACTATGCTATTTACTTATCTCATGAATCATCACTCCCATTAACACACCAGTGTATTGGGGAATGCTCAGTATTAAGTCTGCTTTGAAACCCCAAAGGAGAGGTACCAAATACAGCCACCCCTAAACTACATGCTGCCAACAGCTGCAGGTAAGAAGTCCTGGACTTTTTCAGACCAGCAGAAGTCTGCAAGACTTCTAAAAATCTCTGGGAACAAAAGATACTTATTTGAACACTGCAGAGGGAATGTCCTTGTCATGCTCCATATTCCTATGCTTTCCAGCGTCAAGAAAAATTAAAGGGGGCAGGGGTGAAATACTGCAAGTAAGCATTTTAAACAAAACCTAGAAAAAGCCAAAAATCCCTCTTCATCATCTCTGCCATCTAAATCCACACCTTATCTCAAAATGGTGCATGCACACACTTAAGAACAAAAGGAATTTTATTTGGTCTAGCTGTTCTATTTTAAGAGCATGCACAGGCAGGAACCAGCAGAAAACAGAAAGAACACTTTAAATACTATAATACATATTTTGACAGAAACCTTTGATGAACCCAAAGTAAAATATATTTATAGATAGTAAAATTAAAACAATGTAAATATAATGCAGTTCATTCAAAGCTGAACTCCAAATTCCAACAAAATAACACCCAAAAGCATGAAAATTAAACAGCTAAACTCTACTGATGAAAGCTTTCAAGCAATCAAGTAAGTGGGCATTCAAGCCATGCAATTTTGTAGAAATATGGCTTAAAGTAAATTGGATGTTTTGGTTTACAATTCAAAAAGAACAAAATAACAAACTGCTTGCATGACTACTGCACTCAGGAATGAGTATGGAACTGCTGTTGGAAAAGAGATGGGCTTGGATTGATGCACTGCACCAATATAATACAACTCCTCTCTACTTATACGGCTCTTTTCAGTGTTTCAGTCAGGGCTTATTCTAGTGGCATTATACTGTCTAACTGCATTTCCAGGAAACACAGTCTTACTGCTCCTCTCTGCAGTTGATGACATTTGAACTTCAGCCTAGAGCCATCTCTAGGCACTGCTTTGGTGTCTTTGTAAACAACATGTACCACCACAAGTTGTAATACTGTTAGAAGTCTTGAGAAAAATTACTATTTACTTAAAAAAGAAAAAAAAAAATAATCCCCAAACCTACCTGCAACAGCACGTATGACTGCAGATTCAAGGTCTGCTTCATCTTTACCATGAAATAGGAACAATTTAAAAAAAAACCAAAACAAAACACAAAAGAAAACACAAAGGGGAGGCACATCCTTGACCACCCAGCACATGAGAACCAGAAACTAGAGGGTAAGAAGAATGGAAAAGATTTCTTTATTCTGAGAAAGTTCACCAAAATACTATGACACTTCTCAATTCAATCCAAGTGCTCTACAGTATGTCAGTCAAATAACCAGAGATTAACATCTCAACATCCACTATCTACATGGACGGTTTCTTCTGTACAGAGCCCTGGTAGACATGCTACTCTGATGGAACAGACACCTTCAGAGATCTCCCTCTCCACCTCAGTGGGTAAAATAAGAGACTTGCTGTGAGTATACAAACATTGACCTACAGAGTATCCAAAGGGGTGCCTCTGTTTTTAAAACACATGCACTATTTATTTCTCAACAGTAGAGTTTCATTTTATGAAAACCGGATCTTATTTTCCAACGAGGACTATAAACTGCTCCAAGCAGCAAGATTTAATCAAATTTATACAATGCACAAAACCAATTCGCAACCTGCTGTATATTCTGTCTATAATGTTCTGCATATTCTCAAAGTAGTACGATATACTGCAGAGCACCCCACTGTTTGCCTACTGCTAGAGAACATTCTTAAGACTCTCTCAAATCTAAAGTGCTTCAGTGGGCTCTGGTAATCACCCTTGTCTCATCAAAAGCAACAGGCATGCCTCCTCCTCCACCCTGGGTTTCATGAAGATTTTCTAAAACATAACATGTAAAGAAGATTTAGCTTAATGAGATATCAGTAACATCTCTAGTTCCCACTGCTTTCAGAGTTAACACTTCCTTCTCTGTTATCAGATGCCTACCATACAGCTCCAAAAATCCAACACACAACAAAACAGATTTCTTAAAATAGCAACACACAGCAATACTATGCCACCTATGCTAAGAGATCAATATATCCTTGTTTACAACTTTTCGGTAAGCTATGGCCCTAAATAAAAGGGTGCTGTGTTTTCTCTGAACATACAAAATCAGATCAATAAGATCAACAGAGCACCAATGAAATTTCAATAAAACGCCCTTTCTGGTAGGATACAAGTAGGGCACTAGAAAAGGCAAACACATACAAACTCATGACAGCCTTAAGCAGATTTCTGATTAAAAAGAGTTCAAGGACTGGTCTGAAGGCTGGATTGTTACTCATGCAGGGAAGAATGACGTTGAAGTCATTAGGATGGATATTCTGCATTTTGTAATTTTAAAACTTTTTCCCCCCAGAAAAATCAAGCCTTGAAGACTATCCTGACCAGGTAACCAAGTTGCTCTGTTCTTTTTCTCAAAAAAACCCAACACAGCTGTTCAATGGTGGCCACAGATGAGTGCAGCACAAAGTATGTACAGAGCTATATATATGGTTTTGGCTGGAATAGAGTTAAATTTTCTCATAGCAGCTTGCATGGTGTTATGTTTTGGATTTGTGAAGAAAACAGTGATAACACAGAGATATTTTAGTTATTGTTGAGAGTCAAGATCTTTTCTGCTTCTCATGCTGCCCCAGCAGTGAATACACTGGGGGTGCACAAGAAGCTGGGGCAGCTGACCCCAACTGAACAAAGAGGTATCCCAGACCATATGACACCATGCTCAGCAGTAAGACCTGGGGAGAAAGAAAGAGGAGGATGTCTGGGTTGATGGTGTTTGTCTTCCCAAGTAACTATTATGCGTGATGAAGCCCTGTTTTCCTGGAGATAGCTGAACACCTGCTTGCCAATGGGAAGGAGTGAGTAAATTCCTTGTTTTGCTTTGCTTGTGTGCACAGTTTTTGCCTTTCCTATTAAACTGTCTTTATCTCAACCCACAAGTTTTCTTGCTTTTACCCTTCCAATTCTCTCCCCATCCTGCTGGGAGAGAGCGAGCAAATGGCTGCATGGTGCTCAGTTGCTGGCTGGGGTTAAGTCACAAGGAGACATTTCAATTCTTGGCTTAAGTTTTTAGAAGAGGTCTGGTGACTGATACATGAGAGCAAGCAAAGGCTTACATTCAGTCTTATCTCATCAGGTAAGTAAAGATCATTATTCCAGAAGATTGTGATGTTATACTACACCTCCTTATGAGGCATCATGCTGCTTCAGAAAAGTAAAGGTAGCTTATAATTATTAAATGAGTATAGTGCATCATGCAACACCCTAGCAAATCTATTTTGAGCTCAGTGACTGAGCGAGCACTAATGCAGAGGAGTTGCTCAGAGTTTTCAACTGTCTGAAATAAGGGGTAGGTTGAGCTTTTTTTACCATTTCAAAGACAAAAAAAAAAAAAATCCAAATATGAGATGAGGACACGAAGCTCAGATTTTCCTCCCTGTTAAGAGATTTCCTATTGTACTTGGCTATTTTTGGAACTTACCACTAGAATGGAAGATCAGAGACTTGCTAAAATGGTAACTAATTATTTTACCTAATGTTTGTCTTCAATAAATCTTAACAGTGGAAGTCACCTGTTTGTTTTAACTGCATTTTGGTCATCAAGCAAGAAAGCGGTCTTTTTAAGTTGTTCTAAGATGGGACATCAATAGCTAAATCTATCCAAAAAAGAAGAACAATTGCACAATTTTCCAGTCAAAAACATCCTACTGAACTTTGCATGCGGATTTCCAAATGTTTCCAAAGACACTACCAATGCAGACGTGTTTGCCAGCACAGACACCACTACAAGCTCCCAACTATACTCTGAACGCATCTGCTTCCTGATTCTTAATTTTGATACAAGTCCTATTTCCGAAACACCCATGCACCCAAAATGAACATTTGTACCTAACAACATGCTTCTGATGTGGGGAATTATCATCTCATGTTACAGATAAGGGAGTCAAGACCTGGCCTGTGAAACTTGCTGTAAGTTATTCAAGAATCCTGTGGATTTGGAGACTTATGCTGTGTTCTCCCAAGGTCTGATCTACCAGATCCATGGCTCCAGTTACAGCATCTCCAGTGTTGGAAAGTATGTAATGCACATCTAGGAGAACTAAACAGTTCAGGTGCATTGCCAGTTACATATTTTCCCCTGAAACTCTCAAGTATATTTATAAGAATTAAAATTTTTAAAAGCAAACTGAGACACAGCCAGTATATGACAGAAAAAGCTGTAAAACATATTCTCTGTAATACCTAAGTCTCCAAATAACATTTTAGCATCGAAGCAGCACCTTTAGAAGTATATTTCTGAATAGCTCATAAGTTTAAGTATTCCTTCATCTTTCATAGTATGTTATTTAAATAAAACCTGTTCTGTAACTCCTCTGCATACTTTTATCAAAATTTGAGCAAGTTGATACTT